TCTGCCAGCAGGCGTGTTTAGGGTAGTCGACGCTTTTTTTAGGATGCTCTCGGGAACCAATAAAAGTCCATTAGATTTCGATTGCTCAAAAAAGAGGCAGTGTGAGACTTAGGTCTAGGACCATGCCCTTGAAACTTATTATCTTACGTCCGTTGATCTCTTAATGTGAAAAACAAGCATTCAAGTGCAGTTCAGGATGGTAGGAGGTGAAACTTCAATGGATCAAAGGAGTAGGCTCATATTTTTCGAAACGAAACAAGGGTTGTAGCCTTGCTCACTGTTCTCTTTTATTGAAGCTCCATATAATCAGGGTGAAGTCCTTTTTCTTTTCTCTCCTGAAGATAAAGTTAATACTATTTCATTAATTTGTACAACCGGCCATTTACACATGTCTATTCAGCTCACAATTTTTTTTTCGGCTGGATTGAATTTTGACGGCTGATTACCGCATCTAATATTTCAGTCACGTCCGTAAATCTCAGGACCTCTCATTTCTGAAGTATCTTGAGATATTCAGTTTAAAACACACATATTAGCTACGTTAATATAATAAGGCTGACACAATTCTGGTCAACCACAACACAACTTCTAAAGGCACAAAGGAAACCTGGCCTTTGTTCTTGATTGGATCATTGAATTTCCCTAAATGCCAAAAAGCGCACTAACAGAAATTCTACTGAAATATTATACTTCCCACGATGGCTACTGCATTGCCTTCTGTCTAAGCAAGGCTTCGTAAACACCACCTCCTGCATGCTTACCTGATTTCGAGAAACTGCAAATTCGAAAGTTCTCGAAGAAAGAGATTTGAAGTTNTGCACATTTGGGTCCCTAATTCGGAAGCTACAAGAGCATGGGTCTCGAAATGATCGCATTCATATCAGCGAGTGATCTTATACGACCTTTTCTTATGAAGTTCTTCAAACTCATATCAAAATTTGGAATAATTCTATGCTTTTTTACAATCGACCTTTCAATCATTGATCCATAATTATTACATCAATCAAATTATAAGTCATAGCCAACACGAGTACAGAAGGAAAGTAAAGTGTCGAACGAATCCAGAGAACACCACAAAAACGTTTGGACTATGAAGATTTCTGGACATCTATGTATAGAGTCCTCTATCGTGGTTGCAGTAAGTGCGAAGAAAGGCTGAGAACAAAACGGCTTGATTAGAATGCGATAACGAAGAAGCCGCTATCAAGAACTTCTGCCAGCAGGCGTGTTTAGGGTAGTCGACGCTTTTTTTAGGATGCTCTCGGGAACCATTAAAAGTCCATCAGATTTCGATTGCTCAAAAAGGAGGCAGTGTGAGACTTAGGTCTAGGACCATGCCCTTGAAACTTATTATCTTACGTCCGTTGAGCTCTTAATGTGAAAAACAAGCATTCAAGTGCGTATTTTCAGGAGGTGAAACTTCGAAGGATCAAAGGAGTAGTCTCTTACTTTTTGAAACGAAACAAAGGCTGTAGCCTTGCTCACTGTTCTCTTCCATTGGAGCTCCATATAATCAGGGTGAAATACATTTTCTCTTTTCTTCTGAAGATAAAGCTAATATTATATCATTAATTTGTACAATCGGCCATTTAAGATGTCTATACAGCTCACAATTTTTTTCGTCTGGTTTCAATTTTGACGGCTGATTACCTCTTCTAATATTTCAGTCACGTCCGTAAATCTCAGGACCTCTCATTTCTAAAATATTTTGAGATATTCAGTTCAAAACACATATTAGCTACGTTAATATAATAAGGCTGACACAACTGGTCAACCACAACACAACTTCTAAAGGTACAAAGGAAACCTGGCCTTTGTTCTTGAATGGACTCATTGAAATTCCCTAAATGCCAAGAAGCGCACCAACAGAAATTCTACTGAAATATTATACTTCTCACGATGGCTACTGCATTGCCTTCTGCCTAAGCAAGGCTCCGTAAACACCACCTCCTGCAGGCCTACCTAATTTCGAGAAACTGCATATTCGGAAGTTCTCGAAGAAAGAGATTCGAAGCTATTAGACTGATTAGCCATTACACGCTGTATGTAGCAAACTTGCGAAGAGGTTTCTATTTTGCTTCATTGTCACTACTAAAAACCGGTCGGAACACGAAGAAATCCTTAGTTTCTTTCTGTCTCAAGTGGCTTTGCATACAGTCACCCCTTGAAGGCACCGTTCACAAGAAAGTTAGGGTACCCTTTTTTGACGGGAATTGATAGAACTACTCTAGAATAAAGCGATAACAACGAAAAAAGCGCAAAAAATGATGAACAAAAAGAATTACAAAGGGTAAAAAAAAGAGCTGGAAAG